GAGAGCAACTTAGGCCTGGCTCAGGCTTTTATAACAGCTGTTCTGGATACTGTACTGTATTCCCTTTCCCAGGTCCTTCCCCTTGGAAAGGCCCCGATTCTTTTTTTTTGTTTGTTTTTTTTTGTTTTTTCTCCGGTCCCGGAAACCGAACTCACGACCTTGCACTTGCCAGGCAGGCGCTTTTGCCGCTGAGCTAAATCCCCAGCCCCAAGGCCCCGATTCTTAAAGCTTCCATACCATTTTCCATTGTTACACTGGGGTCCAAGCCTTCAACAGAACTTTGAGGGGGTACTAAGCTGTGTCCAAACCATAGTGGGACAGTTCATTGTAGAGGTTTGGAGGGAAAGTAGTGGGTGAGATGGCTGTGATGATTATAGACAGTGTTAGCGGGGTAGGGACGTGGGCTGAGGTATGGTACCTCCTCTGTGTTCCATGCAGGTACTTCTGTTAGAGATTTTAGCATAATTTACAGCTCCCGAGATCTGATATGTAGGAAGTGCTCAATATTCATTAAATGACACATTTGATTTTTTAAAAAAGAGATATAAATAGGAATTTTCTCGCTTAGTCTACCTGTATTTTTAAAAGAAATGTCAAGCCAGTTCTAGGATTTACATTTTGAATATGGTGAATGCAGAGGTACGATTAGACCATCCTTTAATTTGATTTTATTAGTCCTGGGTTAATACATTTTGGTTATTGTCATTACATTTCAGAGACAATCCTTTCAAGGCTATTCCTCTGAAGGATTGACAGTAAAAGCAACTGAACTGTTTAATTGGTTAATTAACATTTTAAGGGACACCAAAGGTCACAGGCCTGGTGACTGCAGTTAACTTACCGCAGACCACTCTTCACTTGTTTTCAGTATGCTTCAGTGCATGCAGGTCTGTGTTAGGATTACACCACCTGATGTGTGAAAGGCCTTGGCCTGATAGTACCAGCAGCACAAAGATGAGTAAGAGGCATCCTTTCCTGAGCTGTTACTGGCAGAGACCATGATGACAGACTGCAGCAAGATTCAAGTCATCATGCTGGTGAGTCAGGTTGCCAAGGGAGGAGAGTCCTGTTGTACAGGTGGACCTTACAGGACTCAGTAGAAGGCACAGAGGTTTGGTAGGTGCCAGGTCCTGTTCCATGCACTATATTGGATTTTTTTCCATCCCTTTAACAACCATGTAAAATTTTATCACTGTGTTTTATAAGAAGGAAACCGATGTGAAAAGAAGTAACCTATCCAAGGGCACACGGTTCATAAATGGTACCTGTACTGGTAACAGAGGCAGTCTGGTTACAGAGTTAATGCTATAAATTCTGTCCTGGGGAAGAGGAGATTTAGATGAATGAATGGAGGATTGTAGACTTTTAGGAAGTACATGGGAAAGCCAGTGACGTGATACACAGAGCTACACAAGTTGGTTTAGAACTATTTTGCTGAAGTCTTGGAAGGAGATAATTGTAACATGTAATAGTCATATTACATGTTACAATAGCTGATATTTGCACAGGGTCCTATCACCTGTATTCATGCATTTGGAGGGCTGTTGTATTGGTTATTCAGTGGGCAGTGGCGGGCATTGTTCCCTCTCCTGTATCTTTAAGCTGTCCAGCGTTTTGGGATTCATTACCCCAGTTCTTGAACATGCTCAGCTCTCAGTCCTTGCTGTCCTGTGCCCCCACCCATCCCCCCCACCCAGTTACATTTCTGGAAAGAATGTTATGAATTCATCTACCCACGGTTTCTCTTTTTAACTTGCTTTTGGCTCTTCACTGTCTGCCCCTGACCTGTCCTCCATCGTGCCAACTAAACTGCCCTCATTGAGGTGCGTAGTGCCTGACCCATTGCTCATGCTGGTAAGGACTTTCCAAGCTTATCTTAGCCAGCAGTTTTCAGCCACGGGTGATTTTGCCGCTCAGGGGATAGCTAGCAGTGTCTGGAGACGTTTGAATGTTACAGTTGAGGGAGCAGTGCTACTGGCAGCTGTGGTAGAGAATAGAAATGTCATTAAACATCTTTACAGTACACAGGGTGGCTCCTCAAACGAGGAATGATCCAGCCCAACTTGTCAGTAGTTCAGAGGGTGCGAAACACTGATCTTGCGTGGCATTTTGTGACAATGCATAATCCTCCATTCTGACTGCTTTGACATAATTCCTTCCTGACTGGACTTCCGGTGAATTTTCCGTTTCTTCCCTACCACTCTTGGTGGAGGACTTTTCTTCTCCAGCCTTAGTGTTAGTTGTTGCTTCCCAGGCTTCTTTTCCTGGTCTCTTGTTTCTGCCCATTCCTCACATCCTTCTTGGGCATCTCATGGGTGCCAGGATTTAACCTTTGTTGTTGACTGTGACTCCACGTCTGTAGTCTCAGCTTGAACTTTCTTGACCTCCAGACATGTTCATATCTTTCTCCACTTCCGTGGTGTACAGGCTCTTCCAGTTCAGCAGATCCAAAACAGGAAGCCAAATGTCATCTACTGTCCAGATCGTCCCCTCCCGTTTCTGTCCTTCAGAATCTCATGTGCTAAGAGGCACCTGACACTGCTACCTCAGCGCAGGCACTCTCCTGTCTGCTTGAGCCCTCTCCTGGTTTGTCTGCCTCGGGGATGTGTTCTGAGCCAGAACTCTGAGCCTTTACAACAGGCTTCGTTTAATAATGCTGTGCATAGCGCTGGGAATCTTGGTCATCAAGCCCTGTAGGTTCCAAGTGGGAGGAGTGGTACTGCCCTATACAGGAGCGTTTTGAAAATATCATGAATTTTGGGGTTCTCATGGGAAGGAAGGGTAGGTGGGCACTATATATAATAAGTGCTCAGGGATTAGTGAGGCTGACTTTCTGTAGTAATACTGGACAATGCCCTGCACAAAGAATCATCCAAATGCCAGTAGATAGTGCCTTTGTCAAGATGTGGCAGATTTTTAGCTTCTGCTTAGAGCTTAGAAGAGAAATGGTTAGTTCTACTCCTGGGAAGTATTTATTTTGGGAAAGTGGGAGACAACAGAGAAACTGACAAAATAACACAGAAATTCAGGGAGGGATTTAAGGGGAGTAAGTGATGAACTGAATTGAAAATTGCAGAACTGCAAAGAAATGAAGGGAAGCCTGTGGGTTGTTCTGCTGTATGTGCTGCCTGCCCTTTTCATCTCCAGGGCCCAGCCCATCTTCACACAATTGGCAGCTGCTACTTTGGGCCTGTGGGCCCTGGGCTCCTTTCTTGGCATGCCTGGAACCTTCTCTGCTCTGTTCTTGCACTGCCAGACTCTCAGTTTCCCATTTGGGCCCCAAATTTGGTCAGTTTTGACATTTCTGCTTTAGATTCCTGGTTACCTCATTGCATAGTTTCTTTTACAAATAAAAATATTCCAAGTTGTGCTGTAAAGATTCAGCTAATGACAAGAACAGTGGTGACAATAGCATTAGCAAAAATTACTTACCAGGTAGTATTCTAAACTCTCTGTAAACATTCCTTATTTAAGGAATGCCTGCAATTACACCCATTTGTAATTCAGAAGTTATAAGTTAAAGAATTGCCAGTGTACTTTTACTCACCTGGTATTTCATACAACGAATTTATACCTGCTTTCCCTACCTCCTTAATTTAAAAAATATATTTCAATTTTTAAAGCAGCTTTAGATTCTCACAGCAAAACTGAAACAAGTTTCCATATGCCCTGCTGCTCCACGTGTATAGCTTTCCCGTTGTGCTGGTACCATTTATGAGCTGTGTGCCCTTGGATAATCAGTGAACCAACATTGACACACGTTGTCACTCAGCTGCATAGTTAATTTAGGGTTCATTCTTGGTGGTGTACATTCTGTGGGTTTTGACAAATGTATAATGACAGCTCTTTGCCGTTATAATGTCACACACAGCAGCTTTACTGCCCTAAAAATCCTGTTCTCTACCCGTTTATCCCTTCTTCCCTTGGTAACTACTGATTATTTTTTCAGTACTAGGGATTGAACCGAAGACTTTTGCACTGAGGTACATAACCAGTGCCTTCTCACTGAACTACACTCCCAGCCCTTGTAAAATTTTGTGACAGTCTTGCCAAGTTGCCCTCATGGGACTTGAACTTTCCATCTTCCTGCCTCAGCTTTTCTCATGCAGGGATTATAGGTGTGTGGCACTCTGCCTGGGATTGCTACGACTGCTTTTGTATTGTGTCTATCACATATCTTTTGAAAATTTTAAAAAACAAGATAAAAGCTCAGATATTGAGTTATTGAGAAGTTGGAGGAGAGCTGTGGAGTTCAATCTCCATCGATGATGTTTACTTCTTAAGAAATGGGTTGTTCTTGGGCTATCAAGTTTTCCTTTTTTCTGGGACCCTGCTTGGTTGTTTGGACCCTGTGCGTAGGACATGTGCTTACAACAACATAGAAATATCGTCTCATTTTTTATCTGAGTGCTTTCAGCAAACTCTGGTTATTTTCCTTTACGACTTGGCGGTGGAATTCTCTGTAGACCCATGGTTAGTATGGCCAGAGATCCCTGCCATTGGGTAGGAGATGGTTGGATTCACGAGAACTGGCAATGAGGCTGGTCTGTTCTGTAGTCTCTGTGGAACGTAGCACAACTGAAGCCTGTGGTAAAGGGTTTGGAGGGCCCTCTTGGAGAGGCCAGAACTAGCTCAGTTACATAGCTTCATACTGTTTCTCACTTGCCTGGAATGATTCATCTTCGAAGAAATCTTGGAGCTGTTCATCGCTACACACACATTTTAGGAATACCTTAGACCACGCTATGGCCAGTACTGATGCACAATTGTACTGTGAAAGATTTGGACTTTTTGAAGCTTGTGAGATTGTTTTTAGGCGAAGAACTGATATCAGCATGTAAGTGCCCCACGACAGAATCCTACCAGAGGAAAATGGCAGATATTGTGAATTGTGTCTGGTGTTTATTGCAGTTAGGGCATACCTCTGCAGTGAATGGGTAGCACTGATGGCAGCTTGGCTCTCTGTACACTAAGTCTGTCTCTCTCTCTGCTTTTCCCAGAAGCCCCTTGTGCCACGCCTCTGATCTGCAGCTTTGGCAGGCCCGTGGACCTGGAGAAGGATGACTACCAGAAGGTGGTGTGCAACAATGAGCACTGCCCCTGCAGCACCTGGATGCACCTGCAGTGCTTCTATGAGTGGGAGAGCAGCATCCTGGCGCAGTTCAACTGCATCGGCCGGGCTCGCAGCTGGAACGAGAAGCAGTGCCGCCAGAACATGTGGACCAAGAAGGGCTACGACTTGGCCTTCCGCTTCTGCTCTTGCCGCTGTGGGCAGGGCCACTTAAAGAAGGACACAGACTGGTACCAGGTGAAGCGGATGCAGGATGAGAAAAAAAAGAAGTCTGGGTTGGAGAAAAACACAGGGAGGCCCCCTGGGGAGGCTGCAGAGGAGGCAAAAAAATGCAGGCCCCTGAACAAACCCCAGAAAAGCCTGAACCATGACCTCCCCCGACGGCATTCCATGGACCGGCAGAACTCTCAGGAGAAGGCGGTCAGCACCACAGCCTATGGTGGCCGCTCCCCTTGTGGTTCCCCTGGTCAGTCCCCACCCACTGGCTACTCCATCCTCTCTCCTGCCCACTTCAGCGGTCCCCGCTCCTCTAGATACCTTGGGGAATTCTTAAAGAATGCCATCCACCTCGAGCCTCACAAAAAGGCCATGGCCGGGGGCCACGTGTTCAGAAATGCCCACTTTGATTACAGTGCTGCTGGATTGTCTGTTCACAGAGGGGGACACTTCGACACCCCCGTACAGTTCCTGCGGCGGCTGGACCTCTCTGAGCTCCTCACTCACATCCCCAGGCATAAGCTGAACACTTTCCATGTGCGGATGGAAGACGACGCCCACATGGGCCAGGGCGAGGATCTGCGGAAGTTCATTCTGGCAGCCCTCAGTGCCAGCCACAGAAACGTTGTAAACTGTGCTCTGTGCCACCGGGCACTTCCTGTCTTTGAACAGTTCCCACTGGTGGACGGAACTTTGTTCCTAAGTCCCTCAAGACACGATGAGATTGAATATGATGTTCCTTGTCACCTTCAAGGTATAGGTGTTGACTCACCTTGCCTACTTTCTGTTCGTTAAATCCCAAAAAGCAAGCGGGGAGTTGCTCTTCGGGTGTAATTTAAACTGATGTGTTTTTGTTCTAGTCAGGTGTTAGGTAACGTGACTATCTCAGTCTTTCCCACTGAGGTGGTGATTTTGTACTGATGTCACTATACCAGTAGAGTTGGCTCAGTGGGAAATTTTATGTTCTTTTTCCCCTCTAATTTGAAAAGAACAGTTTTTCATAAGTAGGAGGAAATTTAGGAAAATGAAATGCATAATTCTTGTGGAAAAATAGTTGCTTTTGAATCCTGTTTTGATGTGCCCAGCAAGTTATGTATTTTTTTGATCCTTGTAAACATAACAGTGAGGGTAAGTAGGAGACAGGAAGGGCCAATATGTTTTCAGATTAGTTGAATTAATTTTGAAAATAGGAACAATGAGAAAAATGGAGGGTTATTGGAAGCTCAGACATTACCTTCGTCATGGTGATGAGGGGAAGTGGGTAGGCTTTTGTGGATGATGTAGAAGAACTTGGACACATTGCAAAATAGCCATGAATGGAATAGTAGGGGTTGGTTTTTACAAGTGTGAAATCTTATTATGAAACTACTGAAGTTCTTAAAGCTGATATGCGAGGCATACATGTTTATAACTTTAAAATTATGCTTTAAAAGCCTGTAGTGAAAATGCTGTATCTCTACTTGACTTCTTCTTAGTCCCCAGGGACACTTAATTTTCAATGATTCACGTTTTTAATGTTACAATTTTAAACCCTATATCTTTATTTTCCAATTTTAGATGTGTCTTGACTGACTTTTAAGGTGGGTGACTATATATTCCCCTTTTTTCAGGGTAATACACAGTTACCACAATTCTTGATTGAATCCGTAATATTTTGCTGTTGTATGTAAATATTTGTGTTGAGTCAAGATGTATAGTTATTTTTTCTGGTCCAGAAATGGTACATTTAAAGTCATCTTTTGTTTTCATTAGAGTTAATTTCTTCATGTTTTTCATTTGCTTAATGTTTTGTTCTGTTTTTGTGTTTGGTGATATTGGGGGTTTAGCCCAGGACCTTGTGCATGCTGGGCAAAGCCTCTATCACTGAGCCTCATCCCCAGCTCTGCTTAAGTTTTTCATTTGTTTGTGATACTGTGAATCAAACCCAGGGGCACTCTACCACTGACCTACAGCTCTAGTTCCTTTTTGTAATTTTTTATTTTGAGACAAAGTAAGTTGCCACTGTGGCACTCCAGCTTGTGATCCTTGTGCCTCAACCTCTCTTGTGTTTTTTTTTCTTTAAAAAGCAAAACAAAAAAACTTTGACTAGTTGCTGTCATTCTCCAGCAACCTGGTTAAAAGCCACCTTTTAAAAGCCTTTCCACATACCTGACAGGATATTTTTTCTTCTGAAAGTGCGCCTCGTGTAGCGTGTTACTCCCCTGCTCCTGTCTATCCTGATGCGCTCAGGATGTGCTGTACTCTAGCTGTCCTTGTAGGAAGGCCTTCATTTCTTTCCTGTACTTTTACGTCTTATTTCCTAGATCTCACGTTTTTTTTTGTTGTTGTTGTTGGTTTATTCTCTCAGTTCTTCAGGGGACATTTCCAGAAGTTTTACGGGTGCCTAGATTTTGAAAATCTGAGACTGTTTTGATTGTGTCTTCCCACTTGATTATGTCCCTGGTCTTCCAAAATTCCATTGCAATGGTTTGTTTTGTGGGTTTTTTTTGTTAGCTCCTTCCATTAACTGTGCTGTGAAATTTCTTGGCCCATGACTCAGTAAACTTAGGATTTTCAATTTGGAGGAATTTTCTTCCGTTTTCATTACAAACTGTGAAAAACTGTGGATCTCCTGTTAATTACATGTTGAACTTATTTTGATCCTTTTCTGGCGAAAGAGGACATGGGGTGGGTGGGTGTGTATACACCATATATGTAGTATAGTTTTTTGGCTCTGTTCACCTCATTATTCTGCTTTCTGAAAGGTTTTGTTGACTTTCTATTATCATACTTTAATTGTCAAAGATTCTTTTTTATTTTAAAGAGAAGAAAAAGAAACAGTGGTATAAAATTTCAAAACAAGGTTGTAAGAGAGTAACAATGTTAGTACATTGTGCATGTTATCTTCAGAATAGTTGCTTGTAAGATATGGGCATGAAAAACCAATCAAGCAGTATAGGCATATACCTATCCTTTCAGTGAGCTAATAGCGTAGTATATGTATGTACCCAGAAAGGGAATAGCTGGGTTGAATGGGGCCTCTAATCCTAATTTTTTGAGAAATCTCCACACTAATTTCCAAAGTGGTTGCACAAGTCTACATTGCCACCAACAGTGGAGAAGGGTTCCTTTTTTAGGAACATCCCCTCCAGCATTTGTTATTGGTTGATTTCTTGCTGATAGCCGTTCTTACTGGGGTGAGATGAAATCTCAGTGTTGTTTTTATGTCTCTAGAATGACCAATGATGTTGAACATTTTTTCATGTATTTATTTGTCATTTGTATTTCTTCATCTGAAAAGTACGTAGTCATTTCAGATGCCCATTTTTGGATTGGGTGTTTGAATTTGGGAGGTCTGATTTATTTCAGTTCTTTATATGTTCTAGATAGGTCTTTTGTCTGAGGGACAGTTGGCTAAAATGTTTTCCAACTCTGGGTTATCTTTTCGCTCTATTGGTGATTTCTTTTGAGATGCAAAAGCTTTTTTAATAGGATGAGATCCCAGTTGTTGATTCTTTGAAGTGTTTCCCATGCAGTTTGAGTTTTGTTCATGAAATCTTTGCTTACTCCTATGTCTTCAAGATTTCTACCTACTTTCTCTTCTAGTAAATTTAGTGTTCCTGTTTTAATATTTAGATCTTTGATCCCTTTTGACTTTAGTTTAGTGCACAGTGATAGACATCGGTCTAGTTTTAGCCTTTGGCATGTAGACAGCCAGTTTTTCCAGCACTATTTATTAAAGAGTCCAAGGGCTCTTTTTAAAAATTTTATTAGTGTCTGTTAATTTTACAAAATATTGTTTCAGTGTGGTATTTCCATACATGCATGTGTATTTTGATCATAAGCATTCCCTTCATTACCTTCCCTTATGCTTCCCTACTCCTTATTCTTTTCCTCTTAGCTAATATAAATTTCCCTTCTACTTCCATGTCACTTTTTTTTAATTTCACATATTAGGGAAAATATGCAATATTTGTCTTTCTTAGTTGTTTATTTCACTCAATATGGTTACCGGTTCTATTTTTCTACAAATGACATTATTTCATTCTTCTTTATGGCTGAATGATATGTCATTGTGTTTATATACCATGTTTTCTTTATCCATTCATCTGTTGATGGACATTTAGGCTGGTTCTGTGTCTTTGCTTTTGTGAATTATGCCACAGTAAACATGATTCTGCAGATATTCCTATAGTGTGCTGACTTTAATTCCTTTGGGAATATACCAAGGAGTGGGATAGGCTGGGTCATACGGTAATTCTGTTTTTAAATATTTTAAGGGGCCTTTTTATTGATTTCCATAGTGGTTGTGCTAATTTAGAATACTACCACTACCATTGTGGAAGGGTTCTTTTTTCCTGTATCTTTCCCAGCATTCATTCATACATTCATTCATTCATTTTTGTATTTTTGGTGATAGCCATTCTGATTGTGGAAAGAGAAATCTCATTGAAGTTTTGATTTATGTTTTCCTAATAGCTAAAGACATTGAACATTTTTTATATGCATTTTATCTGTACTTTGAGAAGTGTCTGTTTACTTATTTATTTGGCTGTTTCATTTTTTAAAGTTTTTTTAGTTATTTATATATTATAGTATTAATCTGTCAGAAGAGCAGGTGGTAATAGTATCCTGTTCTTAATTGAATAATAAAATTTCTTGCTTTCTCAGCAAAAAAAGGGACCTGAGTCAAAGTCTCATTCATTTTGAGACTTTTGCCTAATCCTTCATGTTTTAAAGCCTTTATTATAAAGCAGAGCATTCCAGAACACAAGTGAAACGATGCTTTAAGTATTTCTGTCAGCTCTGTGGTTGGTTGGTCAAGATGGCTTTTTATATACACATAGCATTGATGGACTGGTGGTCTTGGGGCCTCACCTGGAATGTCTCATTTCTGTTCCTTGTCTTTCATCTTCCAGTAGCCTAGTCTGGGCTTTTTGAAGTTTTTAATAGACACATAATATTTGTACATTTAGAGGTACAGTGTGATGTCTTGACATGTGTACACTGTGTAGTGATCAGACCAGGGTATTAGAATAGCTGTCACCTTGTGCATTTATTATTTCTTCATGGTAAGAACATTCAAAATCATCTCTTCTAGTTACTTTGAAAAATACTGTATTATGTAATAGTATTAACTGTAGTCACTCTACAATAGAACACCTGAACTTACTCCTCCTATCTAACTGTAATTTTGTATTAACCAATCTCCCATGCCTTTGTTCCTCTTCTTCCTAGCTTTGGGTAACGACTATGCTGCACTGCACTTAAGTGAAATCAGCTTTTTTTTTTTTTTTTTTTTGATTGCAAAAATGAATAAGGTTATATGGTATTTGTCTTTCTGTATCTGGCTTATTTCCTCCAGCTTCATCCATCTAGCCACAAATGACAGGGCTTCACCCTTTTTTTATGGAGGAATCATATTCCATTGTGTATAGAAATGTAACACATTTTCTTTATCCATCTACCTGTTGGTGATTACTTAGGCTGATTCCATGCCTTAATTGTTGGGAAGAACGCTGCAGTGAACAGAAGTATGCAGACATCTTTTTGGCATACTGATTTTGGTCCTTGGGATGTATACCTAAGAGTAGGATTGCTAGATCATGTAGTAGTTCTAATTTTAATTGTTTTTTACACAGAGTATCAACTCTTTTATTATTATCAGGTAATCAGTGAAATTTTAATTTTTTGAAGGGTCTCCTTACTGTTTTCCATAAGAGCTCTATTAATTTATGTGTTCCCGATAGTTTGTGAGGATTCTGTTCGGGCTTTTTCATGTGACATTCTCGGCCAGTTTCCAGGTGAGAGTGGAAGCTGCATGGTCTCTGGAGGCATAAGCTGAGAGGATTCCGTCACTCCTATGAAGTATTCGTTAGCGTAGGTCCTGAACTCGGGTCCCCAGGGTGCTGCTGTACCTTGCATCTTGATGAAAGAGGTGCATAAACTTTTTGGTTGTTTGTAACTGCACCCACTCTTTCCTTTTCAGCACCTCACTCCATCCTTCCCACTGACTGTCGTGCAGTTTCAGTGCTAACCCACTCCATCTGTTTTCTGATCTCATATTTTGGTTCAGGATTGCAGGTACTTCAATGGTTTCATGGAATATGGAGTTTGTGTTTCTTGTTCGTTGGTAATTTTAGAAGGAAGTGAGTGGAAATACCTTTACTTCTCCATCTAAAAACTCAAACCATTCTTTGTGAGCATAAATGAGGGTCCATGGGCACAGGGTATGTGAGAATAGCGTTCTTTTTCTGGTTGTGATGGACAAGTTCTTTGACATAGTCCATTTGTTAATCAAACTGAGCGATTTCATGCATGTGCTGGGTTATGTCAGTTTTTGCCTGTCCTCAGTTTATGATTTTATAAGATGCTTTTATAGAAAGTAACTAATTTTATCAGGGTTGTGGCTGTATATAAAATACCACATGTGGAATTAGTAACGTGTGGATATTATATATGTTAATTGTTTTGTAATTTCCAAGGAGAAAGGGTCCACTTTGGCTTGGTTAGTCAGAGGAGGCATATGTGGATTTTGAAGAGCAGAGGGTCCAGCCAGGCTGCGTCTTAGTTGTTAGATTCTGGAGCAGCTTACATAAAGGAAGGGTGGTTGAAAGGAAAAGGACAGGTTATGATTAGGAGGTAGAAAGAGAACCATTCATGGAGTGTGGACTTTGCCGTGTTCCTTCTGAATATGAATTGAGGGGTTTTAAACATTTCTTTAAAGCGCACAGTCACATTCCCCAGTTGTTTGAGAGGGTTAGGAGGTAGAAACAGATTTGAAACTTCATTTCTCTAGTCTGCAAGAATCCGAGAGACTGCCTCATAGTGACAGGGAACTGAGGGGCTGGAATGTGTGCAGTAGATTATTTTAAAGGAAAATGACTGATTTGGGGATCCCTTGATGTTGAGGATGCAGAGTCTCTGGGCAAACTTTGGCACCAGACCAGATAAGTGGTTGTGCTACAGACTGGATTAGAGAAGTCTGGGGAAAGGACCTGGTTTTAGGGGGAAAGACCATGAGGACTTTTGTGTATGTTGGGTTAAAAGAGGCATGGAGACGTGTGTGGAGATGTCAGAAACACATTAGAAACACACAGTTGGAATGCACACTGGAGAGCTTATTATTGTGGTTAAATCATAAAAGTGGAAGAGTTCTTGAATGAGGAGAGAATAGAAAACAGCAGAAGATGTGATACATCTTGAGGATACCTGTCAGGGAGTGGATGGAGAAAGACGTAAAAATAGGATGGACCCAAGATACTTGTATGTGTGTATGTACATAAATATGTAAACATTCACAACTAGGTAATGGCTGTGTTAGGTGTTTATTAAAAAGTATTGAGAATTTTACAATCTGAAGATGAGGGTATCTAATCGAGGTGGACCACAGAAGTCATCAATGGCTCAGGTTACTTGGTCACATAATGGTGTTTTTGTTGCTGCGTCCTGCAGAAGACTGGGTGATCTTTTTTATAGCAAGCTTGTACAGATTGTTTCTTCCGTTACAGAGTCCCGAGCATTCCTTCTTTAAAGCATGTTCAACTCTAGTAGGAAGACTACATTCCAGGCCACAGGATTCCATTTGCAGTTAATCATATGCTGCGAAATGCTGTGTGTTTTCGGTGGTGGACTCTGTGGCTTATTCTTGCCTTTCCCTGCCCTTTATCTCTCTGTGACCTCCTCTTACTTCACCTCCAGCTTCTGTTCTGAGATTTCTTCTGAGAATTTTTTGTTTAAATAATATATTAAAATTGATCTAAATTAGGAAGATTCTACTGAACTTCCTAACAATCTGAGTAAGTGATTGTTCTCTTAGGAGGCTGCTTTTTGTTTGAACTCAGAAACAATTTGTCCTAGGGTTTAGAAATTCAAAATTCTCTGTACTTAGTACCATGTATAATAGTAACTGAAAACAAATCCAGAGACTCAGTTTGGGGCAGGCCTTCCAAGATTTGCCTGTAGGTTAAAAGTCAGATGTTAATTTGAGTGGACCTTGCTACTCATCTTCTTTGTGATCTTGGGTAGGGTGCTCAAGCTCTCAGCTGCAGTTCCTCGTTTCTAATATAGGACTAACCATCATGCCTGCTTTCTAGAGTTGGGACAGTTAAGTGGGATAATTCAGGTGGAGCTCAGCAGCACAGTGCAGACCCATAGTAAGCGCTCAGTAAAAAGTTACTTGTTGCCTTCCTCCTCATGGTCACTGTTACCAACACCTACCTCCACTGCTACAGTCCCTCCCCTCCAGCTGCTCTTGTAACAAGGGATGCTTGAGAATTGCAATGAGTAGGTCTGGGAGGGAGACTGGAGAGTGGCTCCTACATACTTTAACTGGCTTTTTGACATGGCACCAGGCCACTCAGAGGGGGTGTGGCATGTGAGACCTTATTTTCAGTGTCCTATAGCAGAGGGGGCAGTAGTGTAGGAAGCTCTTACCAGCTGTCCTGTTTTGGAGATAGAGGTCCCTGAAGTTGTAATGTCTTTGGCTATTAGCGTGTTCTGCTCTTTCACGCAGCGTACAGTTATGGAGTGCTTTCTACATTCTGGATGTTATGTGGACCCTGCCTGTACGAAGAAGAGTAAGATGTGCTTTCTGCCCTCAATAGAGGGAGTCATGCAAATACAATAAAATGGTTTCTTTTAAGGACCTGTGCCTTTGCAGTAGATAAGGCATAGTTTGGTTACCACCAAACAGTGAAAACTCATTGTCCTGCTTATGGCAATGAGCAGCATATTGTGAACACAAAGCCACTTTGGAGCATTTGTTCTGGTGGTAGTGCTTTTCACACAGCAGAGCTCCCTATGTCCACACAGAAAGCAGCAGCGTTGCTTTTATACACTCCCCAGGCAGGTCCTGGACATGCTCTTTCCCACTTATTTGAAACCTGTTACCCATATAAATCAGGGTGACATCTGACTTTCATGTGTTAAGATGTTGATAAATAATGAAAGAATAAGGCATTAAGAACATGGTAAATAAGGTGATGTTGAACTTGTTAACAGACCACGTGCAAATCAGACGTAATTCTGGTTCCTACATTAAACGTGAGAGCTGAGCAATTTTGGGGACAAGAACATTTAGCCTAGTAATTCTGGCTGTGGTCTAATTCTAGGCTATCAGTACCAAGAGAAACTTTCAGCTTTTTTATGCTGAGACTTGTGGATGAGATCAGTGTAGGTTCCCTTCCCATGTGTCACACACAGACTTCTGAGCAGGGGTCCTAGATGATTACTGGCTGTGTTTGAGCATGTGTGGCTTTGATACTTGAATGTGGATGGACACAGGTAAATTTGGCAGTACTCTTTGTAAATTGAAACAAGCTTTCAATTTAAATTGAAACAAGCTTTTCTTGTTAGACACTGACAGAGTCAGTGTCCTATTGATAATAGTAATTCATCATTAGCTTGAGTGTTTGTGGTAACTAGTGTCGATGCTTTCTGTAGTTACCCAATGATAAAGTGCTTGTAATTGGTAGATAAAGAAGGTTAGGCTCTCCCGCCGAGATGAAATGTGATTTCCGTGATGGCCACTCTCAGCTGTGTGTCTTCTGTACACAGGGAGGCTCATGCATCTGTACGCAGTGTGTGTGGATTGCCTAGAAGGGGTTCACAAGATCATCTGCATCAAGTGTAAGTCGCGGTGGGATGGAAGCTGGCATCAGCTGGGCACAATGTATACCTACGACATCCTGGCCGCCTCTCCCTGTTGTCAGGTTGGTATTAACTCCACCACAGGAGCAGTGTATGATGTTGGGCTCCTGTCCCCAAGTGAATATGGAGGAGGTTACTTGAGGGAAGTGTGAGAACTGGCAGAAGATGCTTCTGAGAATCAAGGAGAAGCTCAGGAAGATCCCTAAACTCTAGCAGGAATTGCCGTTTCTAAATTGAGATGGACTACTATGCAGTTATTATGAGGGATATTAGAAAGTAATTTATCGTATGTGGAATATTTCCCATCTGTTAAGTAAAAAAAAAAAAAAGTTATAAAATGGCACCATACCGTGCTTCTATTTGTGAATAAGTGAGCATACAAAGAGTTCACTAACCTATTAAAGTTGGCCCAGAAGGCTGGGGTGGCAGGATGCTGAGTAGTTCCTTTGCTTTTCTTTTTTTCTTGCATACATTGTCTCATATTGTATATGATTAACATAATAAATTTCCATTAAGAAGTTATGAATTAAAAAGCAGAAGAAAGTTTTACTTTTTTAATATACAGAATTTTCTTGGCCAGGAATATAGCTCAGTGGCACAAGCCCCCCTGCCCGGCAAGTGCAAGGTCCCGAGCTCAATTTCTGGTACAAAAAAAACCGAAACAAAACAAAAAAGAATTTTCTTGTTTTCTTTCTGTGCCACAGTGCCAGTTTCATCAACTGAAATTCGGATAAAACCATCTACTTCACAGAAATGGTTTGAAGACAAGTTGAGATTATGCATTGTTAGTACATTTTTCAGAGGGATTTTACATTGAGTGTTTATGATTTCTTTATATTCACATCATTTGTGAACCAGTTGCTGAAAGGGTATAGAAGTATACTGCTAAAGAACCTGGCACGAATGAAAATAATGTGCTAGTGGGATCCAGAAGCCTCAGGATGAACACAGCACTTCGCCTGGATTGCCAACTTTACTTTAGTATTTTAAGGAAATTTAATTTTTACATCAGAGAAAACACATTGTCGTATAGAGTAACATGAAAATGTCCGTGAACTTTTTAAAATAAACCCTGACTCTTCAAAGTAGTGTCGTGCACGTGTGGGTGGGGGAAGACAGTTTCAGCCATCTCTTAAAATCCAGGGTTGCAGGTAGTCTGTTGTTACGGGAACTGTGGTGGCAAGGTTTAGACAGTACCAGGTAAGAATGTTCTACCCACGAATAAGTGACAGGACTTGCACTGCCTCTGTTAGAAGTTGGAGTCATTAATCTTTCAGATGGATGGGGGTGAATATTTGAGTATCTACCTTAGGCTTTGCGTACCCTGTTTCTGGTAATGAGAGATGATTGAACTGTCAGGCAGTTCCCAGCCTTTTGGATGTGTTTGACAGGTATTGAGGAGGAAAGCAGTGGCTTACGTGTCTGTTTCTTCCAGGCCCGCCTGAACTGCAAGCACTGCGGGAAACCTGTGATCGATGTGCGGATTGGGATGCAGTACTTCTCCGAGTACAGCAACGTCCAACAGTGTCCACACTGTGGGAACCTGGACTACCATTTCGTGAAGCCATTCTCCTCCTTCAAAGTTCTTGAAGCTTATTGATGAAAGCTTTGCTTTAGTAATAGCTATTTTATTGATATTATTACTTTATTACATATCTTTTATAGGGAAACATTCTGTGACATTAATTTCTTTTCTAATTTAAAGCAGAGTTACTTTGTATATGTATACCACTAAAATGGGGCTGCCCTTTCCCCTGTCTTGATTCCCCAGTGTTAGTCTGTGATCAGGACCAGAGCCAGGCGGGTAATCACGTGAGTGTGGGTAGGGTTCCTGCTCACCAGGAGTCTCTGATGCAGCTTTAAAGTGGTGGGGAGGATGGGACGGATCTAGGAAAGGGATTACGTGGTTGTGGACTAAAAGCATGGAAGGGATAGAGAGGGAGCGTTGAGTAAAATGTTAACTTTCTAAAGACCCACTTGTAGATCTTCTGTGGGCCTTAGGCAAAATATGTGACAAGTGAATGTAAGTCTGAGCCTGGAGAGCTAATAGTGTATTAGGCTGTCTCGGCTTAGTGTTCTGCAGCACATACTGACATGCGGTTTACACTCAACAGATGATTTAGAAGTGGAATGAGTATTCTTTTCTTTTGTGTTATAAAACTTAACAGTCAGTTTTCCTACTGAAAATAATACCCAAATTAGAAGATAGGAAAACTATTGCTGTTGGAAACATTCCTAGCTAAGCTGACCTATAACAATATGTGAAGTAAGTTTGGAAGGGATGCACTTCTCATTGAGAGGGCACAAAGGCAGAGCGCTGTCATTTGAGTTACTCTGTGTGGGAAGTCGGTTGAAGAAACTCTTTAAGGAGAATCCACGTAGAGTGTGATTGGGGGGTGACGATGTCTGCAGATTGCACTTTGGAAGTGCTGTTTGGTGTCAGATCCTTCCCACAGGTAAATCTCACAGCCATAGAACCTAACTGGTGAGCTGCAGAACCAGTCATGCCACACTTACCTTCCCCATAATGCCTTATAGCTATGTCTGATCCATTTAATACTGAGTTTCCAAAATCAGAGTTGAGCTGAGGAAGGGAAGAGTTGTTTGAGAAAACGATGAAGAAAAGAGTAATTTTAGCATTTCTTTTTAAAGTGTGTCATTTTGGAAAATTACTGTTGTAATGCTTAACAGTATGCTTTAAAAAACCAGTCATCCTAAAGATCCTCATGATAACTTGTTGGTTAAAAAAAAAACACTTGCAGAACTTCATTAGAGCATTGAGCATTCTAAAATACTATCTTCTGTTCATCAGACTGTAATACATTGATACCCCATACTTTCATAGAATTGAAATTAGATTCTCACAAGTGAATTTGATAATTGCAAGTATGATGTGTGTATATGCTAAAAGGGTTACTAAAATTAATCATTCTATGAATTAGCCCAATTTGGCATTGATGTGAATATTTTATAATATTTATTTGGCTTATAACTTTTCTCAGTGTGATTTTTCCTTTCAGGCTTTATTGTACTTGAGTTTCATTTTTACTGTGTGAAATATGTTTGGAACAACACAACATTGGAAAAACAGTGCATCAACTAATACTCTTCACTTTTTACTTTGGGTGATTGTTACTTGGTGTAATGCATGTGATTTGGTGTTTGATCTGAAAAATACTCCGCAGTGAAGGAGCTCAAAATGCCTATGTGAAACAGAAAGTCACTATTGGTCAGGCAATGTTGAGTGCAACTACAGGCCTGTAGAATATAGCCCTTGGAAATTTGTCATTGATACACAAAGCTGTAATTGTGAACTAACTGTTTCCCTATTGATTCTCTTATTCAAGTTTATAAATTGGTAAGTTTCTCTTGTTTTCAGAGAACCATTTGGATTTTATTTCGGAATTTAATATTATTGGTAAAATAATCTTACAACTCACCTGTTCTTCAGTCTACCTACATATTTCTAGTAAAACCTGCATATTGTTTGAAAGCTTACAGTTGACCTATACATTACATTCAGCAAACTGTTCCGGGTAAAATCACTATAGGGTTAGTGTATGCTGCATCCCATATTTTTTCCTTAGATTGTTTTCTACCCCCTTGAAAAGTAAGTATGATGAGGTTTCACTATAATTGAGTAAAATTTGCTTTTGGATGTTACTTTGATGATGCAGTGAAGATTCTGTAGATGTATGCAGTTATATAAAAGGAGGCATGAGTATCATACTCAAAATCTTTCAAGGCATTACATTTTTATCTAAAAGGGATAGTTTGGCTAATTAGAGAATAAAATATAATTAAATATGCAAAACTATAAAGTGCTGACTTTCATGTTTTCTCCAAGCTTGCCTCAAGCACCTTGATCGTGATTGGAATTTGTCGAGAAAGATGATTATTTTTGTCATTGTTAGGATATTGAAGGATATCAGTCATCCAGGAGATTCTGTTTCTGTTTTTCTGATAAAGTGTTCCATAACATGAAGCAGTCTTTTGAGTGAGTAATAATTTCAGTAGTTTTTAATCTGCTCTAACATTTTCTAATCCTTGTTTGTAAGCGTTCCATACGTTGAACAAATGTAATTATCTACTATAGTGCAGAGAGAAGACAGTTTATGATAGGTCATTTTTTCTTCAGGCCGTCTCAGTTCTCCACTTTCTCCTGGTTACACCTGAGGCCTGGATGTACTGCTTATACTTTAAAGAGAGACATTGTGCCATGAAATTGAGAGGTGGTTCAGTTGTCCTGTTCTAGTTACAAAAGAGCTTCCCCAAACATCCTTTACATTTCAGTTTTTATGAGAGAACATTTTCTGAACAAAAGAGATTTTCACATTTTGGCAAAAATTAGCTCAACAAGAAAAAATACCATTAGGTGTTTAAATGATGAAAGTAACAGAACTAATGTGCTGAAGTCTTTGCGTTTAGTACTGCAAGACCAGTGCTTACTATGCTGTCTGTTCTCTTGTGCCCAGGTTGGTCATCCCGGTTTGCTTTTTCTGTTTAGTCTCCTGGTCACAGCTGTTGGGTAATTGTAGTTGGAGATTGGAGAAGCAGTGAGAAGAAAGTGCTCTTCAGTGTTTTGGTTCTTACAATAGGCTGCTGCCTACCTAAGTTCATTTCCACATCCTGTTGACTTTATTTTGTTGCTCCAGGTAATTGAAAGGAAATAAAATGGGTGGACACCATTAAAACCAGCTCAGAAATACATTGTTTGGTAAAGATTTGTCAGAATGTTTTGGATTGCACTTTTGTTGAGGGAAGACAGTGTAAATAGTTGAAGAATGTTGATGAAATTAAAACATTTGGTTATGGAATTTTGTGTGGGGTTAGAGGCTTTCTGTTTGTGAAATGTATGTACTAAAAATAAAGTTTCAGAAGCTAACATTGTGTACTGTTTAGTGTGTTACTATTTTTTGTTACAATTTTTTGAGAAATGGTATTATCTTGTCAGGAAAGATGGTGGAGAAGTAGAGATTTTCAGATTTTAAATGCTATCCAGAAAACTATTGCACCATCACTGTTGCAGCTCATCAAAACTATAAGTCATGTTCTTGTAAATCACAGAACTTACTGTTCCTCAAAACAAGCATTCTATGTGACAAATCTCTTTCTCTCCCCCTCCCTCAGTAGTCCAAAATCAGTGTGTTCTACTGAATAGTGAGTGTAGAGAAGTAAAAATGATGGCCCCGGTTTTGATACACCCCAGGCCAGTCACTCAGGAACATTGCCAAAATTTAGGTCATCCCAATTTCCCCAAAATGCCAGCTGTAATAAATGAAACACAGAATAAAAGTTTTATGTCCTTGACAGTATGATTGCATGAAAGTAAAACAGTCAGCTATAGGTTAATAAGCTTAAACTGCTTTGCTTGTCTTAAAAAGAATGTTAGTATATAACAGTAAAGGGACAAATTACTTCTTTGTGCTTTATAAAGGGTGTTGCTATTTTGAGTAGCCTTCCTCAAGTTTGGTTTGAGATCTCCCAGTTTGGGACTGTTCCTTTGTATGCATGACAAACTTTACAATGTTGAAATTTATTTTTTGGGAGGAGGGCGCTAGGGAATAAACCCAGGACGGGTTCTTTCCTGCCTCGGCCAACCAGAATCCTAGGATTACAGGCCTGCATCACCAGGCCACCTTGGTCTAACTGAAATTATTACAGTAGATAATCCTGTTCTATAAACATTTTCTTTGATTCTTAGGCATGTAACAGTATTTATGAAACGACTAGATCGTATTTGTTATAAAGTGAAAATTGAGTAATAATTAAACTTCTTGTATCTTCAAGTCAATGTTACCAAGTACATTGTTTATCCTTTTGATCTCTTTGGCCCCTTCATTTCACTATCATTTCAGCCAATGGATTGAATTCTACATAAGTAGTAGAATATAGCACAAGGTTTGGCAACAAGAGTAGAGGGGTCTCCAGTCTGCCAGTAGATTGACACCTGTATTTATTACTGGTTCTAAGGTGTCAGTTTTGTTCAGAGGCTTGAGGAGGACTTGGGATGTTGTGATCTGTATATTAACAACATTTTACTATTTTTAAGGAAAGTACAGTTCTTTCTGAAGGGGAGCAAAGTTAAGTGATAGTAAGTTTAATGGAAGAAAATTCTTGGTCTTAGTGATTTCCACTTTAAATCTTACATTATTTTGACAAATCTGGCAGCAATTAGATGTAATCATGTGGCCAGTTTAGTAAAGGGTTAAGTTTGTGGACAGAGCAAAAGGCTTTTCTTGAGCTCTGATTCTTCCCCAGATCTTAGCTTACACATGGGGGCCTAGTGAATGTGAAATACCTTTGAAGATGGTAAGGTTCTGTATAGGTGACAGATACACTGTTAGAAATAAATATTTCATGAGGTATATATTTCCTCTAGTGAGGCTGTTAAGCCTGAGAGCCAATAAAAATGAAAGTAAAACATTTGTCTCATGCGTGGATTTCAGAGAACCACATCGATTACGTTTATCCACAGTCACCTGTAACTGGTCCATAACCCCATTTCTTGGTGATGAATGCCATGCCCAGTAGGCTGATAGACTTGACTCATATTTTTGGTGATATCTTAAAATCAAGTTTAGAACTGTCTAACTGCATTCCTAATAAACTCAGCGATGCTGGAAGTAGAAAAGTCATAGCCATGACCATGATAGAACTTACAAATGGCAGAATTTAGGGCAGGGGCTGTGCTTTTATTATACTCACATAGTAAATGTTTGTTAAATTGCATTGACTCAGCTGGGGATGATGGCACATGCCTGTAACAGTAGCACTTAGGAGGCTGAGGCAGGAGGATCGCCATAAGTTTGAGGCCAGCTTGGGCTGTATAGTGAGTTCAAGGCCAGCCTGAACTACATAGTGAGACACTATCTTAAAAAACAATGCATTGACTCTTGTACTTTAGGGCTAAACTTGAAACCCAGAGAATTGAAACCTAAACCAGTTCATGTAATTAATGGCTGGGTAGAAATTACATATGAATTCCTTCTCCTGTTCTCCAAAATGAGATTTTGGTACTTAGCTAGCTAACCATGGTATAGTGGAGTAACCACAACTTTTCTTCAATTTTGCCTATATTTTCTGTTATTGTTTGGCTACAGACTATCTTTAACATGGTGATTACTAGATAATAGATGGGAGAAAAGATCTTTAATAGCCTGTTTAGTTTTTGTTTCTTTCATTGTGTTTACTGATGTCATTCTCTGATAAAAAGAGCAAAAAATCTGGGGGTCTAGGCTAATAGCAGATCTACTTGCTGTAAATGGAAGGAAAGGTCAATTAGAAGCACATAACACTAGATAAATAGGATACCTGTTTAACTTGTATACCATATGGATGTTAGGGAATGGGTATAAATAAAAACAAGTGTCTGGGACCTCTATGGGGCCTTGTTGTGAAGCATACATGTAAATATGTTCTTTACATATGTTAATGGATGAATACTTTCTGTTGAGAATTTGGGTTTTGACAAGGAAGTAGACTAAAAGGATTAATAGCCTTTGGCTTTAGCAGCAAGTCCTTAAAAAAGAAATGGAGATTCTGAAAGGCCTTCCTGGGCCCTTTGCATAAGGGAGACAAGTACTGTCTTAGTCCATTTGATTGCTCTAACAGAATCAGACTGGGTAATGTGCAGACAACAGAAATTTCTCACAGTTTCAGAGCCTGGGAAGTTCAAGATCAAGACACTGACATCGAGTGAGGACAGTCTGACCATGTTGCTTGCTCACCTGGCAAGAGAGGAGAAGAAAGTGAACACATTCCTGAAAGGCCTTCTAATAGCGGCCTTGGTCCACCAGGACTCACCACCCAGGAAGTCCTGCCTCCCAACACTTGTGCCGGGGTAAGGTTTTCAACGTGATGTTGGGAGATAAATTCAGGACATTTGAAAGCATCCCGTTTTTAGAAAAGATAGGACTCCCTTCTACAAAGAGAAATACTATTTGAGATCAATACTTGTGTTTGGCTTCATTTTTCATGTATCTGTTAACATCTCTTCCAATTAGTTAAGGTAGGGTATTGCTGGAGGGAACTATTAGAGTGTAAGGTGACACTGTAACAGTCCACACTAAACTAATCCATCACTTTGTTTGCTTTGGGATCTAACCTTGAAGTATTTTTGGATTCAGATATGACAAGCTGTTGGATTTGATAGCATTGATCTATGCAGCTTTGGCACAGTTTTCCTTTCTTGATTAACTTTTCAGGTGAGGTTCTCTAGAGGTTCTCTAGAGGTTCCACTTTCAGTTTCTCACGATATTGTCTGAAGGGTTGGTATCGTAGACTTTCGGGGATTAATATGCTTGATTACTGTTTGAATTTCATACAGTCCTGGGGGGAAGATTGTTTCATGGTTTAGGGGTCACCGTTAGTGATAAACCGAGTTACTGCAAAACCATGGGTTGCAATCAGTGCTTCACATTTCCTTCTTATTTTCATCATGTTAACAAATCACATTTTTGTGAAGCTCTGCTGCACGGCCAGTGATGAGTGAGGGAAGTAATGCCAGGTGAAGCCAATAGGCTACTGTTCTGGAAGCTTCAGATCTCCACTGTTCTAAAAAGGAAAGCGATTTGGGCAGAGTGAGATGGTAGGAGTCCTGGGGGCTATTATGAATATTTCAGAAAGCTCGGTGGAGATCAGAAGTTACCACAAGCCTACACAGGATAGCTTGAAGGTCAGTTTACTTTTGGCAAGAGTTATAGCAATCATGGTTGTGTCAAGTTGCTTAGAAACTGGCAGTAGCACGTGCCTTTGATGGGTAGTATATGAGAACAAATTATTCCTTAAGTGCTATTTGTAGACATCATGTTGCAAAATGAAAGCTAGGGTCGTATTGGATGCAGGGTGGTCTTTGGTGATGGCAGAGTTGGGAAAGTGCCATTTAAAAAAACTCCACTTTTTCTAGTCCCTTTCCTTCCACTTACTGTGATAATTTTGCTTTATCTTTTTCCCATGTAGCATCTTTTTCCCACCGTGTACTTCCTTCTGCCTTTTGCATCAAGTTTCTGGACCACTGGGACACAATAAAAGCCTCCTGACAAATGCTGATGTGAGTTGCTCAACATACATGTAAAATTAGTTGAAAAATGGTACGTACTCTCTGCATAAAAATAGTCAAGCTGATTAGTGAAATAGAGAAATAGACCCACACATACCTATGTGATCAGTTGATTTTCCACAAAAGTACATAGAGAAATCAGTGACTAAGGATGATTTAACAGATGGAGCTGCAAAAATTTGCTATGTGTAGAAGATGTATAAAGCAATCAAACTTGGATCAATACATGATACCCCCAAATTAATCATAGATATAAAATTCAAAAATGGAAAAATTGGATTCTATTGAAATTTAGTTCTCAGAAAACAATGCTAACAATAAAAAGACAAATCACATATGTACTGGAAGAAAAAGAGTTAGTCTAGAATATGCAAGGAACTCCCAAGATGTGTTATTACTAAGACCAAAGTGACCCACTTATTTTTTCTTTTTGGTAGCAGGAATTGAACTCAGGACCTTGCACTTGCCAGGCATGCGCTTGTGCCGCTGAGCTATATCTGCAGCCCAATGACCCACTTAAAAGGTGGTGGCAAAGTATTTCAGATACTACCAAAAAAAAGGCAAACACGTAAGATTCTCAGAACCAGTATTTAGGGAAATGCAAATTAAGCCCTAATGAGATATCACTTCACACCCAGTGCAATGATTAAAATTAAAAAGCTTCTGAATACTGAGTGTTGACAAAGATGTGAACTAAGTGGAATCTAATGCATTATTGATGGCAATTTCAGTTTCTTCAAAAGTTAACTGTGCCTGTGCTGTTTCAGCCTTTCAACCCATGTACTATTTACTCGAGAAATGAAAACATGTCTATACAGTCTTCT